ACAATAGGTTGCTTGAAAAAGAGATCTGCGATCTCAACAGGACTTGCCTGGTTAAATAACGGTAAATAAAATCATAAGGCTCTACATATCTCAGTCCTATTTTTATTTATTTTTTTACACAAGTGGGAAATTTTTCCACGTACCCCCTGTAATAATGCTCGGCTACATTACAGGGTTTTTTTTATTACTACCTAATTTCCCTCTGGGATCATTAAAGTATTTTTGAATTGAATTGAATTGGGTACACGTACCCCTGGTTGGGAATCACTGGTCTGTCTCTATCTCGTGGTTAGTGGGATATTCTGCTGACAGACATCCCAGTAACCACGAGATAGAGACAGATCAGTGATTCCCAACCAGGGGTATATGTACCCAATTCAATTCAATTCAAAAATACTTTATTGATCCCAGAGGGAAATTAGGTAATAATAAAAAAAAAAACCCTGTAATGTAGCCGAGCATATTACAGGGGGTACGTGGAAAAATTTCCCACTTGTGTAAAAAAATAAATAAAAATAGGACTGAGAAATGTTGAGCCTTATGATTTTATTTACCGTTATTTAACAAGGCAAGTCCTGTTGAGATCGCAGATCTCTTTTTCAAGGGAGGCCTGGGCCTGAAGGCAACCTATTGTACATGTTTTTTTTTGGTGGGGGGGTCGTGCTGCCAAATCCGCATTGCAGAAAATACAAACGGAATCACAAAATTGACACAAAATGTAAACCTGCACAAAACGCGGCATCTCGCGGAATTTGCTCATTTGGGGTATTTGATGTATTTTGGAAGCTGCTGTTTCCTTCACCTGCCATTACCTGGTTTATTTATTCACATTCAAGACAACGTTTTTATCTTCATGTTTAATTTGAGTTGAAAAAAAAATAAAATTCCTGAGAATTGAACGTTTTAGGGGGTTAAATAATTTTCATAATCAGCTGCTGTACATTATAGTTATCATCATTACCTTTGACAAAGTGGGTACTAGTGGTATGACAAAATGGATCAGGGGGTACACAAGTCTAAAAAGGTTGGGAACCACTGAAAACAACACACACCCTGATGTTTTCTGGTGTTGCACATCATTTCAAAGCTACATGTTGATTTTAGTTTAAAACTCTGGCATGAAACATGCATCCCTTAAAAATGCTGCCTTTAGTTAGTAGAATGAGTTAAATGTTGTAAATACAGTATTTTTTTAAAAATACCAAATAAAATAATCACTGCAATCCCTGTAACTTCAATTTCAGGCCCATATATTGCTAGTTTCAGGTTTCATTGATTAAAAAGAGGCTAAAATGACCTGTTTTCTYTTATCTTGCAGTTGCTGGTCCAACCGTACATCCCGCAGATCCACTCTGCTCAGAGGAAGCGAGGATGGGAGTGAGAGGAGGCAGATGAGCGTTCTGTATGTGCAGCTACCACACACAGTGATGTTTTTGGCTGTAGATCAGATGCCAGTCTTCTCACTTAGCGTGCCAACTAGCTTGGCCGGCTCCGTCATCACAGCAAAAGTGGGCACGCTCAGCCGCCAGCTGGCAGTCGCGGGCCTTAAATAAGGAAATGGTACAGACGTGGCACACGTTCAAAAAGTTTTCACTTCCCTCCCCAAACCCCCTACGCTGCAGACGAGGATGGCATGTTCCTAACGAAAATAAAACCTTTGTTTGGGAGAACTCCCCTCCACTCACAGGAATAGTATCGCCAAAGACCACTCGCTCTCATGTGAGGGGAAATAGATTCTATTGATTCTTTTCTACTTACGTAATTTCAGGAAAATCCTTGGTTTGTGCAGTATTTTTTTTACAATCTTTGGCCTTTTGTGTGGTGCAGCTGGCATCGCCACGGATGTCGTCTCAGATGAAACAAAAACCGCGCAGACGACTCGTGTTTTTGGATTTGTTTCCTGGAACTTGGCCATGTTTTCGACATTTATTATGTCGGGGACCGGGATCGGAATCGGCGCAAACTGGAGAATATTTACAGCTAAACAGGGTCGAGCTGGGATGGATAAAAAACCTGGAGGTAAAAAAAAACTAAAAAAATTAAAATGCAGATTACGATTCAAGTAGAAAGAAGCCAAAACAGGGAGAGTGCGATGACCCGCTGCCAGCGCATCCTTCAGAGACGGGCACCTGAAACGGTTTCGCCACCGATGCGGGCAGGACGGCCGCAAGCCGGCGCCAACTCCCATCTTGGCGCTGGGTTTCATGTGAGGGGGGGAAAAAAGGAGGAAAAAAAAGTGGACCCCCCACAGATCTGTGAGAGAGGCTGAGAGGGTAATACAAACCGTGGGGAGTTTCCCAAGCATGTGTCAGGTTGGCATCAATGTGAGAATGTCTTGGCAAGCTCTCCGCCGTCTCCCCTCCCACCTCGGCTCGCACACAAACACACTGTTGCCCCTCTTGGAACACATGGTGCATCAGCAGCGGCATCTGGCCACGCTGACTCCTGGCAGCTGCGCTTCGTCTTCGCCAGTTGGGAGTCTTGGCACTGCCACTTCATCAACTACCTGTGGCTCCTCCTGGGTAAAAAAAAAAAAAGGGCGGGCGATGAATTATTCCGACGCTGCAGCTGCAAACTTGACTTTCATCCAAGAGTTTGGCTGTAAACATCTGAGCGCTGCGCAGAACACATGCCACACACGTGCCACGGCACGGCTGGCCACGTGGCTGGTGTTTTTGCGCGGCGTGATGCGATGTTCTCGTGTGATGGCACGGCTCATTGGATGGGAGAGATGTGCTCTGTGATGATGAATCGCCACGCATTCAGAGCGAGCCTGAGAGGAATTATCTGTGGACGAGTAGAAGTTTGTTGCTACAAAACGGAGGGTTTAAAGCCTAACTGAAGGTTTTACTGAGAGAAAAAAAACTATTTTGACTGCGTCGTGGTCGAGGACCCAAGGATTACACAGAAAGGAGTACTTACAGTTAAACATACAGTTTTACATCAGTCTTGTAGGTTATTTTAGCCAAAATGTTGCTGCCTTGGATTTTATTTCTAATGAAAGTTTTGACAATCCCAGCCTTTTTCCTGAAGCATTCTGTATTTTAATTTTCAACTTTAACACGTGGCATGTTGAGCACATACATATTAAGGGGTGAACTCATGTATTTTCATTCACACTTTTGTTGGGAAGTCTCACAGATTCAACGAATATTAACTGATTTTAACTTTGAATCTTGTACTGTTTTGTATTAAAAGGGACAAATCATGCAAAATCCACCTTTCTAGCCATTTAATGCATTTTGTTGTGTACTTGGAGTCTCTAAGAGTGCAGAAAAGTTTAATTTCGCCTCTCCCGGTACTTCATATTTTTCAACTCGTTCAGTTTTCTCTATTTTCTATGATGTTTTCTGAACTACTGGTATTACGTCACAGTATTTGCAACAGAACTTCTGGACTTACCAACCCCAGTTTGGTGGTCTTCATTCTCCTCTGGTTCTGGGTCAGACTCTGGCTCCAACATGTAAGGCTGGATGAACAAGTTTTCCCTTTTTGACCTCTTTTAATTCATTTGTAAATAAAAAGTTTCTGCACCACCGTATAGTCGTAAACCCCTCTATCAAACTAGAATGAATCGATCTGGAAGCTGGTAGGGGTGTGAAGTGCCTCCTTTAGGTTTAAAGAGACAGCCTCAAGATGAGTTGATCTGTGACACACCTCAGAAAAGGGGTGAAAGAGGGGCTTGTGGAGTTACAATAAGGAGGAATTGGGACCAAAGCATAGCAGTCTCATTTTATCTCGACCCCAACTGAAGGATTTTATCTCAAATATCTCCTGCTGATTTTAGATTGTATTATTCTGAGCATTGAAGTTTTGAAAACTTTGTTTATTTGCAATGCAACAGTTAATGAAAGGTTTCAAATGGTTGTCCGAGTTTAGATCCAGATTCAAATCCAATCAGTCAGTTCATTCATTTTAGTAAAAAATACAATCATGTACAGAACATTGTGAAATGCAAATTAGTAGGGCTGGATGATATGGCCCCAAATGAAAAAAAAAACAAGATTTTTTTTCCATCCCAAATTAGATTTTCAATTTTAATCGATTTTGTTTCCCATTTAACAGAGTGCCTCTGTTTCAGGTGTTGAAACAAATTTGTTGTACTCCTGCTTTTTGTAGCAAGAGCCTTCAAACACATTTTGCAGTGAGTCCAGTTCGAAACTGTGCCTTTTTTGGGACAATCCTCTTTGCTAGCTGCCATATTGTCAGGTTGTGTACCAAGTGTCTTGAGAGACATGTGGGGTGACCTCTGAACCACTGGTGGGGAAAAAAAAATCCAGATTTTCCCAAAATCAAATCTTTATAAATGGCAAATTCGAAATTAATCGATTAAATTGACTTATCGCCCAACCCTACAGGTTAGTAAATGTTATCTAAAATAACCAGCAGATTGCATAAAATCTTCATTTTTCTCTCAATGCTTCGGCCTGATTAAACCACTGGAGACAGTGGAAAGGAAAGACTTCCTTTTAACAGGAAGAAACCTCCAGCAGAACCAGGCTCAGGACGAGTCGCCGTCTATTTTAACTGACTGGGGTTTAGGAGGACAAGAAAGACACAGAAGAACTGGTCCAGGTCTAACTTCTACAGTATGGGAAGAAATAGACAGAAAAAACGGTAATYACAACTTCATTTACAAGCATGGAAAGAAGAAAGAGAAGAGGGCAGCAGAGTTCGGAAATGTGTCCTCACGCAGTCTGCACCTTGAGCAGCAGAACTAAGAGAGAGCTCAGGAGATTTAAACAGTCAGTTGTTTACTTCTGAAAGTCTCAAATGACAAGAGTCACACATCGT